ATGTAAAAGAGTAGCAACTCTACTTTGAGCTCCTCCTGAATAACTAAGCTCCTCAACCTGGCTACAAGGCTGAGCCCAGACACCCTTCAGAGGAAGCTCATTTCCGCTGCTTGTGCTCACTATCTGATTCTTGCAGCCATTAGCCAGAGTTCATGACCACAGGTGAGGGTGGGAACATAGCTCGACAATTTCACTTTCACATTCTCTCTTCACCACAACACACCAGTACAGTGTTCACATCACCATAAACATTGCACCAGACATTGCTGGCTATGGAGATATGAATCAAATTTAAAACCCCTGGACTTTAATTACCTCAGAGGTGTTTAAGCAAGATAAGTGCTCGAAAAATTGTGGCTCACCACCAAACTTGGTTTTAGATGGACTGAAAAGAGGAAGACTATAACTAACTAAAATAAAGTAAGCATTAACCTTTAGTCAACGTCCTTTAAAAATAAGAAGCCTGATTTTTAAAAGCTTTCTTGTCTTTCCGTCTTTCATGTGCTTACTGCAGTGTCTTTTGGATGTGTGAAAGCTGGAAGATCAGTGCTCTGTTATAAACATCTTAATCATGCTCTCCCTGACATTGCGACATTGAGGGCTCTTTGGTTTCTCTGCATCACTCTAATGCAGAGATGTGTTCACATGTCCATTAGAATGGTGATTTAGAAGATCAGCTATTAAAATTAATGTTTTCATTTTACAGCCTGAAATTTCATTATCGCAGTGTCACATTCTAAGGTTAAAATCACGGATCCCTTTTTGTGACCTTCATATAGGGCATTCAGCATGTGCACAGATGTTGGTTTGAATGTAACCAGAATCATCTGCTTCAATAAAACAGTGGACATACGGACACAGTGTCACTAATGCCTTGAAAGGCACACTCAGGATGTTTTTTTTATTGCTTCATTTGGCACACTACAGTCCCACCTCCCATTACGGTTGCCATGTGATTTATGTTGTGCTCTTTGGAGAGTGAGACAGACGGGAGCTGGGAGTGAAAATACTGTGATAGCTTTGTTTACCTTGATCTTGACTGCCTTTTATTTCTTCTTGGACATTGACAGCAAGGAGCAAAGGCTTTAAAAACTCTCTTAGGCCTCATATTTTCACATTTATTAAATGCTGTTTCTTATTTAGAAAATACAGGTTGTTGCAAATGCAGTGTCAAACCATAAAGACTCTCAAAACCTTTTTATATATACAGACAGATTTTGCAAGTTCTTTCTAATAATCCACTACGTGATCCCTTTACAGTTTATTACTGAGTAAATAAGTAATCATAATAGTAGGGGAGTCTTTTGTTCAGTGGAATAAAAAAGACATCCGTTACTCTGAAGCAATTATTTTACCAAGCCTTGTAGCAGCAGTGTGCTCATGTTAGATTTTTACAGTTGTTTCCTGTTGGATAATTGAACCTGATTTATATTCTCAGTATTTTTTCCCACTCTTTATATGGCTTATGCACCTTTTCAGAAAATTAACTGACTGACTGAGTTGCTGAATTCCTGTAAGACTTGTGTGTCAGTCTAAAGCCAAGTGAAACTGCATAGGAAAGCCTTATTTCAAATGCTATTTTAAATGCGTGTTCTGCAAAGTGTGCAAAAAAACTGCAAAGTATCAACAATTTTTACATCTTTTTGTTATATGCTCACAATATCATCTCAGTTTATCATAATCTAATAATCATTTTGCACCATTGCTGAAGGAATTATTACAACGATTAAGTATAGAGGATGTGGTTTTCAATAACAAAACAACGGTGTACATGTGACTGCTTGTAATAAGAGTTGGCTTACCTTACAAAATAAAGACATGCATATGGTTGGAATGTTAAGGATAATTAGGCAATGAACAGGCATACTGTATCTTTAATTTTTACAGTTGCCCTCATTAATTGTAAGTTAATGTTGTAAAATATACTGCTTTAACAATCAATTCACAATGGAGAAAAATAAGTAATTGGATGGCATTCTCCCTGTCCTAGCCAACAACAGATTAATAGCATCTGAGGTGCATGAAATTATTTGTTCTTTTCTCTCTCTTTACCCCCTCTCTTCCTCTTTCTCTGTATGCGTCTAATTAAAAACTGCAGGCACAGCTACACAGTTTATTGCCAGTGCTTGCTGTTGATGGGGCAGCAGAAGGCAGGAGCTCAGGGAATGTGTTTTTGATGGATGTCAGACTGTGTAGAACATGTGGGACTCCTGTTTCGGCTTCACGTCCCAGCGCTAGATCACTCCTCACGATAATGATCCGCATGCACAGTGTGAAGGACAAATGTATCATTTGAATCGTTTGTCATGCTAAGGCCTCATGCCATTCGTCAGAGTCAATTTGCCATCTTAACTATGACTGTTTCCCGTGTAGCATTCTATACTTGTTAAAAACAGTCAAGACTAGAAGAAATGGCCTTTTCCCCCCTTTTTTGGCACAGGTAAAACAAGGGCTTCTTGTTTTGCCTGTTCCAAGCAAAATTCTAATAAAATCCCTGTGCCTTTTCTTTTCTTTTCTTTTTTTCCCCCTCATGCATTTCTCAAGAGCAAAAAGTGGATTATTATGCCGTTAGTAGGATGCGGGTGGATCTTTTTGCTGACCACACAGACTTTCTGGTGGTGGTGATGGTGGTTTGAGGTGTGTCATCGTAATGACAAGTGCTGCAGTGTCACAGAGCAGTCTGTTCTGGGTCTGTCTCCACTGGTCAGTTTTGTCAACAAGTTTCTCCATAATTGTCTTATTTATCCACACCCACAAGTTTTGTATGAGCTGTTTGTTCTTTATGCCAACTTGACCCTTACTGATGAACACAACATCTGGAGAGCACATGGATTCTTTTGTCTCCCACTATGCCAATAAAAAAAGGGGTCATTGCAAACCTGAGGTGAATAGTAACCCTGCTCTTGCAGACTATTGATAATGTAGCAGTGCAGTGTTTTGTTTTTTATGTACCGACTGCACAGTTCCTCTGTCATGATGCCACGCTTAACATATAACATATACCAGTGATGTTTTAGCAGGTTTATATATAGAATATTTTAGATTGGGCATCATAGTAATTTAGTTAATTATAATAATCACCTTATTCCGATGTCTAGACTGCAGCCAAATGAGTGGTGTTGCACATGTACTATTTTCATTGCTTCACACCTATCACAAGCAAAAAATTGCTCAGTACTGTCATTTATGCAAAATATAGTTTTGTCACTGTAGTGTCAGTTAAATTAAATAATCAGTCACAGTTGATTTATTTCTATTACTTTTCGAGGAGAAAAGCTTCTGTGGAAGCCAAGAAGTGTTTTTTCAGATGATTGATATATTTTGTACTGTATGATTATCAGACCAAGCAGGCAATCTTTTGCCTCAAACATACTTATCTGCCTTACTGTATGAGTAATATACTGGAGATGGTGCCATGTGCACCTGATGTAGGTTAGGCTGAAGATTCCGTCTTAGCTGGTGGTATTGGTCACACATGGCACTTTATCATTCTTCGGGTGGAGTGGGAGTCGAGGCAGGGAACCATAACTTGTATTTAGACGACATGGGTGGAATGAGGAACTGACTAAAACTAATAGGAGTATGGACTTCCAACTGATCTGTGGGTGTACCACTGCACTTGTTATGTACCTACAGTGACTGCTGACATTCTCACATAAAGGTCTGCACAGCATCTCCACATTTTGTGTGTGTACATATACTTGGGGTAGGCTAAGAAAAGCTTCACATAACTGGCTTTAATTTATTCTCTACTAATTTCAGCCACTGTGAAGGTTTCAATCACTCTTGGCTTTTACATTTCCCTATATCCATGTTAAAAAAAAACAACAACCCAAAAACAAACATTCACAAGAAATGTATTGTTCTGAAGCAAAGGATGGCACGTTAATGTCTTACAAGATGGATTTAACATTGTGAGCTGATGCTAATTGGAAGGGGACCAGAAATGTTTTGTTTTCTTTTACATACTCATTCCACATTCTTCATAGAGGGGTAAAGAAAATGTAGAGCACCTTTGTTTTGTTCAGCTCTGTCCCTGGTTAAATGGTGTTCAGGTTGTTGGTTACCTTTTTTGTCTCTAGAGTGTGCCTTCCATTAGCTGAAAACGACGCTGTCTCTGCAGTTAGATTACTGCTAATCCATGCTGTTGACTGTTACTGATTTATAATTGTTAGCAGCAGCCATCTGTTGTGCAAAAGTAACATGTAAATAAGGAGTACATGAAGTAAATGCTTTAATATATATTAATGTAGTTTATATATGCATATATGTTTTATGTTTGCTTTTATGTTTTCTCTGTTATTTGCATTTAGTTAGTGAACCAATTGAAATTATCTGCATCCATGGAACTTGGTGTTTTTATTTATCTATCCATTTTTGGTACTGCGTGTCATCTCTGGCACTCACACTTAAACCAAATTCACTGAATGGATTTTAAAGGTATGTCATTAAAAAAAAAAAACAGAATATTGTACTCGCTGCTGTATTGAGGGAAAACACAGGTTAATTCTGCACTACAAAAATTCCTAGTAACAAACAGTATTTGCAGCATGTTGCAGTAACATGAAGAAACAAAGTAATTAAAGTCTACTGTTGAGTATAGTATAGTAAAACTGCTCAGAATCAACTATGATGTTGAATTTTATATTTTACTTAAACAAGTGATTCATAGGTAATTGATGGAGAGAATTGTTTTCATTAGCGTACTAAACATCATAGAATGAAGGGAAAAGTATAATGTAGCGAGGTCAAAGTAAATGTTTTTTCCCCCCTAATAATGCTTTATAAATATGGAAGCGCCTTTGTTCTACACAAACTCGCAGCCAGCCATTGTAGCGAGCGTCGTCCTTTCCAATGAAGCATGGCTGAAGCTTTCTTGTCATTTATCTCTCATCAGTGCTGTTCCTGGTGACGGATGATACTTGATATTCAGAGGGTCGCTTTGTCTCCTCAAATTAATCAGATGCGCCTGAGAACCACCAGGGAGAAATCGTTGGTGTAATGTAAAATACCGTAACAAAGGCTGGCTGTAAAACACAATATGCAAGTATGTATTAAAAAGATTTTAATGGAAAATCCATGCTCTTTGTGAATCTCTGTGGTGTGATTTGGATGATAGGCAGGGAGGGGGGGGGTAACAAAAGTCTATGGGTCATGAGAGAAAACTGTAGAGATTACTTTACCACTCTTTTATTCATCTGTATGGACTTGATGTAAAGGTTATAGAAGGAGAACTGAAAATGGGTTTCCTAAGAGGCTAAAAAATTCAATTTTCTCTCTTGATCACAGTTTATATTGCACTAGTTTCACATTAAAGAGCTTTGAAGACCTTTTCGATATGAATGACTTGTCACAAGTATAGTCGAGGCCTGTGTCTGCTTGCAAATGGATTATGTGCCAAGATTTGACTTAATGATACGTCACTGTTAAGGTATCAGAATGCAAATGCAAATTCTTTACTGATGTAAGGAATTATATTCCATTTTAATGTATTGCATGGGACAAAACATATATAGTAATAAATTAGAACAACACTGGACTAAAATTATTTAAAGTGATGTGGTAATTCTGCCTATAAAGTCTTATAAGAGTCTCAGTGGTATGTTGGCCATAAGCAGGTTTTTCTCCTTTGTATCTTATGTTGACTAAATTGTGTTTGACAGATAATGGAGTCTGGTAGACCCCTGGCTTCATCACCTGAACCGTTCTTCCTTCATATGGCCTCATCTAAAGCCAGCTCATCCCCTGCTCCACCCCAGAAACTCCACACCAAGTCCAGAGCGACCCGTAGTCCTATAGTCAGCTCTCCCATCACCATTTCTGGTATGTATAGACAGTATAGAGAAAACTTTACATTAGACTTAGTTAGATGTGCTCAAAGTAATATAACAAGGTTACAGTTAGTAAGACTTTCAACATTCATCCAAGTGGTTTAGGAAAAGTATTGCATTAGCTGTGTGTAAAAAAAAAAACAAACAAAAAAAACAAAAAAAAAAACAAAAAAAACCCCAACTAATAAATAAATAAATACTGACAGTTTTATACATAGTCCCATTTATAGAGGCTTAAATTAAACAATTGCCTTACAGAACAGTTTCATGGCCAGATGAGGCCTGTTCCCTTACAGTTCTACATGTGGAGTCGATTTTGCATTTGGTAGACGTTCACTGAAACTCTCTTTATCATATCCAAAAAGATGTGACTGCACGTCAAGGATGCCATCATTAAGCAGGAAGATCAAAATAAACCAGATAAATCAAAGAGAGAGCAATTTTACAAGTGACCAGATCAGAAAAGAAAGGAATCATTTGCTGGCTTAGCAACACCAAAAGGCCATAGAAGATAACTAAAGTACATGATCACAGAATTATTTCCATGGTTAAGAAAAACCATGGAAACAAACCGCTCTTTATACAGAAAGACAAAATTATAAACATCTTAAAATATGTAAAACACCTTACCAGTCCTGGTTAACAGCAAGAAAAGAAAACTTTGGCTGGGTGAAACCAGATGGAAGTATAAAAAGTAGGGAGAAGGAGAGAAAGTGCTCCTGATCCGAAGCATAACAGCATAGACTTAAAACATGGTCTAACATGATGGAAGCAATGTAATGGCATGGGCATGTTTGGCTACCAGTGGAACAGAATTACTAATCTTTGTTAATGATGTGACTGCTGATAGAAGTACCAGGATAAATTATGAAATGTACAGAGCTATACTCTCTGCTCAGATCCTGCAAAATTGAATGAACAACATTTCACAGGGCAAATGGACCCAATGTAAACTACGAAAGCAATGCAAATGTTTCTTAAGGCAAATAAATGGAATATTCTTCAATGGCCAAGTCAATCACCCGATATTAATCTAATAGAAGATCCTTTTCAGTCACTGAAGACAAAACTGAAGGCTAAGAGATCCACAATCGTGGTAGCCAAAGGCAGAAGATTTCAAGGCAGGAAAAAGACGGCATCAGGCAGTAATTGACTGCAAAGGAGTTTCATCCAAGTACTGAAAACAATTGTTATGTTTAAAATTGTTAGTTTGTGTAATTCCTTCTGAATCTATATTTTTATTTCAACTATGTATAAAAATTTCTGAAATTGTCAATGCAGTACTTTTGTTAACCCCCTTGAATGAAAGGTTAAAGGCTTACAGACTGGAGCGTAGATCTTAATTAGATCACTCTCAGATCTTAATTAATTATTTATTCAGTTATTCTACTCATATTTCAGACAGAGTAAAAATATATAATAGAGAGGTTGAAGTTCAATAGTGCAGTGCTGCATGCAGAACCCGCAGTCTTCAGTTCACTAGCTATGAATATAAATTTTAAACGTATCCATCATTCTGACTGACTTTTCAGACGGTCCACAAATTATAAATGCAAATTTATTTAAAGGAGCCATCCAGCTAAATTCTCCAGAAGAACTGAATTCAAATTTCACAATGCAGTCGAGGATTTAAGGCACCTTTCCTCCAGTCTTTAACATGTTATAGTTTTGATAGAAATGAAAAGGCCATTGAATTAATGAATGTCAACAGTTAAAAAGCTGTGTGTGTCCTTGTGGATTTCTTTTGACAACTTTTAGTTCCCGTTTATTTTGTGTGATTTGACACGTCTGTCGGCCTCACACTGTGCATGCAGCCACCAACATCTCTTGGTTTCTCTGAATACTAATTGTGGCCAAAGCTATTATGCATTAAGCAACAGTGATGCGTAAGCTGTCAGATGCCCCGTGACCGCAAAATAATGTGCAAATTTACATATCCTGGTTTGTAATTATTTTTTCCTTCATGATAAGATGCCCGCAAAACCAGTTGTGGCTTTGGTGTGTTTTTGTGCGTGTGTGTGTCATGCTATCACCATGCTATCACAATAAAGAACAGACACTCTCATAAATAATTCATTTTTGCATCCTTACACTCAACGTGCATAGAAATTTCCCAGATAATTTATTTTGCACTGAGCAGTAAATGCTGAAAGCGCACTCGCACCTCTGTAGTCACATCATTGTTAAGAGTATTAACTAAATTGAGTTCCTTCAAAGATTTCTCATCCCCTTTGGGAGGTACGTATCACAAGCCCACCGATGACAACACTCCTTTGAACAGAATTATAGTCGAGCATTCCTAAGTTTGTGAGCTTATCTCTGAACTGTTTTATTCATCACCACCTATTATATTTAACAGTGGAAGAGCAAGTGTCTGACTCAATACTGATATATAAGAAAATTGCCCTCTTTTTGGTAATTTTTTACATTTTTAATCTGGTGAAATATTTTTTCCCTTTGTTACTTTGTTGACATATGAAGTCCAAAGGTTAAGACCAAAGAATAAATGTTTTTTTAAATGTTATTCAACTATCCAGAAATAAAATTTCTCTCTCTTGATTAATGGAAATTTGTTCCTGTCTCTGATAACACTTATTAGGCCACTGTCAGTATTCACTGTACTACGAGGTTCTGTTCTTTGTCCTCTTATTTATTTATTTATTTTCAGTCTACACTTAACTAAATACTGAGAGGCTAATTCTGATTTAAGAAAAAGGGAGTTTGTTATTCATGCTTGTGTCAGTCCCAAAGGTGCGCAAAGCCCTAGTTCATTTTCTAAGGCTTTGTGATTTCTTTAAATCGCTTGTGACCAGATACAGACTCTGGACCAGCAGCTCCTGTGTTTAATTTGATCCTGCTTTTTCCAGCTTAGATCTGTTGCAACGCAAGCAGAGATGATGATTAGTCATCCTTTTATTTTAACTCTCTAGTCACTCGTTTTAGTAAGTCAGTGGCTAAAATTCAAAAGTATGAATTGTATGATCTGTGTCTATTGGATATTTTTCTTTTACATGTCATCATGAAGCCCATTGTGATGTGTGGTAATACATTCTTTCTTTAACAATATAGGCACTGTATTGGGAATATATTGTATCAACATGTAGGCGTGTAAAGATTTGATAGGAAGCTGGATGGTGATCAGTAGATTCAGTGATTCTTATAACTGTTTACTTTGCTCTCCAGGTCATTCGCTGCGAATAATGGAGGATGAATGTGTAAATATGTCTGTCAGCCCCAATGGTTTGAATTTAGCCAACTCTCCTGTCGTGCTCAACGCATCAAGTTCAAGCTGCTCTGAGTTTGGAGGCCTAGGATGTCTCGGTTTGTCTGCCTTGGCTGCTCCATCACAGCTTGGTACTTTTCCAGGTAATGATGCTTAAGATACTTATATATTTCATATTTTTCTCATTTTGATAATGGATGTGAATCTAGTGAATACTGTGAAATAGGGCTGTTAAATCCAGTTCTCCACTAGTTCACTAACAGATTATTAATGCCTAACTGTACAATGTCTTTCTCTCGCACTCAGATTGGTGGCGGACATCTGAGACACAAACCAGAGCAGCTGCAGCCTTCTTCCCCCCTCTTTTAGGTCTGCATCCCTTTGTTTTATCAACCTTCAAGAGCCACGATCCTGTTGATTTCCAGTCACGGCCTTCAGGTAAAAGATCTCGTGAGAAATTATTCCCTAGTCTTACTTTTGTGCCCTATTAGGCAATAAAAAGGACGTGTAAATTAAAAGTGATTAACAAGGAAAGCGTATGCACAAATTACATACTGCTTTTAATATAAAACTTGCCTTGTTAAGTGCAATTACTGTGTGGTCGTTAACCTCATATACTTTTCTTGTTCATTTTAATTGTCCTCTTAACATGTTGATAGTAATATGAGTCATATTACTTGTTCTCATAAGTGTCCACTAAAATAAATGTGCAATGCCAGTTTCTTTAGGTGTTAATGGAACAGTGAATGGCAGGAGTGCTTCCTCTCCTGCTGGGAACGCTCCTGCTATGAACACTAGTTCATTACTAGCAAAGGGAAAGAAGGAGACACCTCAAGCCAACAGTCATGAGCCGGGCCAGCTACATCAGAAAGCCGTTGAGAAAGCAAACCAAAAGGTTAATATTTGGTCAAACACTTAAGAGCCTTTGATAGCGGTGTATTCCACTCCATGCAAACTCACTTTAGTGTTTTCATCTATTGAAAGTTTATAGTTTAGTCCCTCCTCTATAACCTAATGAAAAAAAAGTTGACTTTGTATTATTACCATTAAGAAACCCAACAAAAGACCACTAGAGACATCGAGCATGAGTGGCAGCCAATCAGAGTCTCAGTCAGAAAGCTCCAGCGAGGTTGAGGAGAGCAGCAGCGACCCTGACGATATGGAAGAGGAAGATGATGATGACCAGAGCAGCGACAGTGAAGAGTCGGGTTATGAAAAACAGAGTCCAGCTAAGCAGAAAGTCAAAGTAAGTGCGTCTCTTGAACTGCTCTGTAAACAGTGTGTTTAGCTAAGCTCTGAAAATCCGTTAAGATCAGTTTTTGCTGAAAACGTTCTCAAAATATTTTCCTTTTAGTCTAATAGTTGATTAATGTGAAAAAGCTTGCTTTAGTTTGTTTCTAGGGTAAGAACAAATAAAGGTTAATTTGTATTTGAAAAATAAAAAAAGCTTTCTGTTGATTAGATGGTAGTTGGTTTGTCAATAGCTGCCTCTTTGGTGGGTGTCAAACTAGGCTTTGTGCTAGCTGACAGAGCTGCCACCATGAGGCTCTCTCAGTAGGAGCTGAAATGACATTCTGTCTTCTCTGTTTGCCTCATCCTCCTACTCAGCGGCTGACACACAGCACTCCCGAGAGTAAAAAGAAGAGACCTTGCACAGTTGATGGCAGCTCAATTCAAGACGGACATTGTAACAGTGTTCGTTTGACTTCCTTTTATCACCCCCAGTCTTATTCCAGTCCTGCTGGCCTGCTTCAGTCTGCAGCACTGTTTCTCCAGAGGCCCAGGACTTCAGAAGAGGAATGCCAGCAGCACACCAGTGTCATACAGGCCACAGGACTGGCAGTTAGCAACAGTCCCTTACCACAATCCCAGAGAGCGGCTTGTCCTCTGCCTTTTAGATCTTCTCCCAGCCCCATCTCCTTCTCCAACTCATCAAAACATTTGGCCACTTTAACATCAGCAAAGCGCTTCCATCCTTCATCCTCGCCAAAGCATGCTTCTGTCTCCTCTTCTTCTAAACCTCTTGCCCTCTGCTCCACTAAAAAGTCCCTCTCTCAGTGTTCCCCACTGAAACCTCTTTGTTCACCCAAACCTCCTTTCCCGTCGTCTTTACCCAAACCACAAACACTGCTGGCCTCAAAAGGAGAGTCCCATATGTCCAAATTTTTGATGCCCTCTAACAAACACAGACATCCCATCAATAACACGAAGGACAGCAGTGGAAACTTCCCAGATCAAAGCCTGTTACTCTTACACACTTCTAAATCGAAACAGGTGAGTTACAGTATCGAAGCACATGAAATAAATGACAGCAATGAAGCCTAAAGCGTTTCCTCCTCCGCATCCACGCACACATAATCCTGTTTTTATTTGTTTATCAGCCACCATGGTTTCTGTCATGAAATGATTTTGTTCTTTCACAACAGAGAATAAATGCTCACGCGCCTTTATCTGGGCTTTTATCATACTTTGTGAGCATCTGACCACTACATCACTAGAAGTGACAGTGTGTTTAGCTCTTGTGGGAATACTTCACAAAACTGACAAGCAATTAGCTCTGTTATGCTTTGGGCTGTTTATTATCAAGAGAGAGAAATTGGCCTCTTTTGCAGGACTCTGTTATTGTCGCTATCCTAAGAAGGAGGGAAATGTAGCAATCTGTAACAAGAGGGGTTTTAATTCGGATGATGGCTGTACATTAAATGCATGCTTTTGATTGCCAGATTTTGACAATGGCAACAAATAGAAGATGACAGCTAATGTCTCATGATGGCTGTAAGCCAAACAATTTGAAAATATTTTTCCCATAGCCGCCCGGGTTTCTTCATTGTTTCTGACAGGCTCGAGCCATCTCTTCATTGTTACTGTCACTTATTACACCTTAAATTCCTTAATTTACAGCCCACAGCAGTGTAATATGAGTGACAGTTGGTGTAATTATTTCCTCCTTTTTGTGTGTGTGTTCCTTTTTATTTTTTTATTTATAAAGCCCCTCAATTCCACGGATTCTGTGAAGCAAGTTTTCTCTCAGCGACCAAAGAGCCAAAGCTGGTAAAAACAAAAAGAAAACAAAAACAGAAAATCACAATTAAGTGTCCACTTCACTGTTGCTGACACCACCTGAATTATAGTCGTATCAGTGAGCTGTTTTCTCTCCACATCAGCAGTAGCAACATGTTCCTGAACCTTTATCCTAACGGAGCGATCAACGGTGCAGTTCAGGATGCCCCTCTGGCCCTCATCACTAAGCCCCGCATCCAGAGCAGCACCCCCAACAGCAAGCCTCTCTTAGCAGCCACCAGTCCTCCCTGCTCCATGCCTATCAACTTGAGCACTGGCACCAAGGAAATGTTGGACAGCTCCGCCTCCCCTCTTAAGACTTCTGCTTCATCGGAACCCAGATCAAGGAAAACTACCCAGACGGTGCATTCAGGAAGGAGCCTCACCAGAACCAACACATCCTGTCTGCCTGTAGATTTGGTCAGAGGCAGTGAGCCTGATATCCACAGCAGCAAAAACTCGGACGACTCTTTAGGGGACGATTACGATGATGATGAGGATGAAGATTCTGGGAGCAGTTTTTCAGGTTAGATTAATTAGACCTGTCTTTTAATTAAATAAAGAATAACATGATCATACTTTATTGTTGATAGAAGCTGTGAAATATGAGGTAGGTCCTGGAAATTAGCTGTGCTCAGTGTGGTTTGAATGTGTGTGGACTGTTAATTAGGTAATAATTTATCTCTCTCTGTATGTGGCACACTGGAATCCCCCACAGAGTCAGAGAGCATCCTGGGGAGCGACTCTGATGCCTTTGAGGATGATGTCAAGGAGTCCGTTGAGACAGAAGCAGATAGCGATGCAGAAAGAAGTCCTCTGAAACTAGCTCAAACCTCATTGTCTACTCAAAAGTCCTCCTCGAGCCTCTCAGCCACCCCCTCCCTGCTCAACATCCAGATTACCAAACCTCCAAGTCTACATAGTAGTTTTTTCAGCCCCACCACCAGCACCGGAGCAATGGGCAAACAAAGTGCACCATCACCACCCTTCACATTTGCTTCGCAGCCAGGTAATAAATAATAAATCCATAATCCAGATGAAATATCAATCTGATATGAAACTCTGCTACAATTCAGGCTTCAGTGAGAGGAGAGGACGCATTTTGAAGTAAAATATAATTAACGATCTTGTCAACAAACTTGTAAAGTAAAAATATAGCATATTTTACTCAATACTGCATATGCTACTTGTACTGCTGAACCTCTGGGGCATCTGTGAGTTTTGCACCCTCCTACAAAACATTAAAATGCTGTTTCGTGTGGTGTTGCGTATCGATACCCACATGCGGACTGTAGTTTAATACTGAAAACCGTTAGCCACAACAGGCATCAAATATGTCTCCTTGAAGCAGGATTTATAGTTTAACGGATGGCGGGTCTGCTCAGGTCCCTCAGAAGGCGAGAAAAGCGCTGAGTCATTTCTCCTGTTTTCTAGGATCGGGGAGGAGGAGGAGGGTTACGGATGAGAGAGTTCTGCGATTGCCTCTTGAGTTTGGGTGAGAGTTTGAGCCTGCACTTTGTATCAAAAGAGCCAGATAAAGGTTTGATATTCTGACCATGCCCAATTTGTTCTCAGTGTCATATTTGCTGTAGTGTTGGTGTTTAGGCTGTAGGTGTTAAAGTAAAATGTCAGCTCACTGATGGCTGAAAAGTGACCTTTCGCACATCAGCTGCAGCTAACTTTTTCTTGGTGGAGCAGCTTAAAACACACAGTATGGGCACCAACAGACAGTGCAGTTATATTTGCAGGTCTGCCACATCGGTTAAATATTAGAGTTTTCAGTTAAACCTAAATTAATATGACATATTTATTCTTTTAACAAATCATTCTCTCCTTTACCATGTAATTTGTCGAATTCCCTTTTAAGATTTTGCTGACTTGTGTAAACAAGACACACTGGAGATTAAAGTGGTAATCGTGGGGTAAAGACTGCAGCTGGTACTCAAAAAAACCTTCCAGATTTGAATGCGGTGACATCTTCATCAATGTCCAAATAGAAGCAGACCACAAAAATATACCTTCTCTCCTTTGGGGACTTTGTGAGTAATACATCATAGTGGGATGGAAATTAAATGAGGCCTGTCAGTTGGACAGCAGTTGGGGTTTAATTGCATCCAGCCTCAAAACAGACATGCAACATTAGCAGCTCCCTGCCCACAAATTCTGCAGGCTTGAACGAGGACAGCCTTTCATCTTGTAGGGATGTTTTTCATTACCAGGTTCACAGGAAGCAGAGGCCGCAAAGCTATATTTCAGCCTAGTTTTGCTGTCTGGGATACGATCCTACATGTGTTTTCTGTAAGCTGTAGTCCAGTGGAGCTCATGGGAACTGCTGGGCTAGCCAGTGACCATTTATTTACACTCTGGTGAACAACAAGGCCACAGACTACACTGTGAGCATCAATTCTATATTAACTATGTTTTACTCGGTGTCTTTTTGTTTTGTTTTTTTCCATTCAGGTGGCAGAGAGAGACACGCATCAGGACTGTAGCGGGGCGTCTACAAGGCGAGGTGGCTTACTTTGCACCGTGTGGGAAAAAGCTCCGACAGTATCCTGATGTAGTGAAGGTAGTGGTATTTTCTGAGAAGTGGATTTAGAGCTTTTAATGATTGCATGTACTAATCAGACTGTTGAAGGATTATGTAACGTTTGGTGGTTCCTACCTATGGATTAATTAGTGTGTGTTATTCTTTTGTCTGCAGTACTTAATCAGGAATGGAATAACTGAAATCTCACGAGACAACTTCAGCTTTAGTACAAAAATTAAAGTTGGGGATTTCTATGAAGCCAGAGAAGGGCCCGAGGTAAAGGCTTCTACCTTTTCATGTTCGTTTCTTACAGACGTGAGCTCACAGTAACAACAGTGATTATTATATGTGCAATCTTTGGTGTACAGTTAGTAGCTTTTGTTAATTTTAGCCTCTCAGTGCTGATTTTGCAGAACATTTCAGCTAATCAGAAAATTGCAAATAAATTTATGTGAAAGTCGCATTTTTAAACCCAGCATCTTTGGAAGGTTATAGAAATGGACTAAAATCAAAATGACCCTGTATATGGAGTTTATAGCGCTAAGCTAGCCATTTTTATCCCTCTGCTTGTATCTACTTCAAATTACCCAGGGTTTACAGTGGTTCCTACTGGCTGAGGATGAGATTGCTCCCAGCATCATAGCGATGGATGGGAGGCGCAGCCGGCGCACAAAGTCTGAGCACCAGCCGACAGGTGATAGCACTGGGGCTATACAGTGGAAACCTTATCCTCTAAATGGTGGTGAAAATAACTTCCAAGATGTCTCTGATGCCAAGTTACTTCGTAAGCTGGAAGCTCAAGGTCAGTTAACGTGGAAAAATGTTTCCATGGCACCTGTTAAAGGTGGGCTTTAGACTGCCAGGAGACTCAGAAATCATTGATAACCTTTTGGGAACCCAGAATTCTTATCAGAAATTTCTTCACAGTAATTTTAATTAACTTCAGAGTTTAAATTATAGTTAAAGTCTAACTAAATTATCAGTTTTCATGCAGCTTTCCATGTTACTGATAATAACTATTAGCATTAGAAGTTGTTTTAAAGTCAGTGCAAGCTGGAAGAAGTGGGTAAACTTTGAACGTCTTAATTTGGAAAATGTCCTTTAGGTGCAAAGTCCTCCATCACGTTTTCTTATAGCTTAGTTCCAGAACAGTGAGGATGAAGTTTGACCATTCCTGCCTGCAGAACTGTTAGAGTTCATCAGCATTTTCTGATTGATCAGTTCATGTCACAGCATCTCAGCTGGGTTGAGGTCAGGACGCTGACATGGCTTTCCAAAATATGAACATGGTTCTTTTCCATTCAGTCTCTGTTTGATTTACTTAAGTGCCTTGATCTTCCTTTTTCCAGTTGAGGTACCGGAACAGCTTTCAGACTACATTGCTCCCTTCACCATGTTTCACATTTGGGAGTGTACAATGGCATTTGGTCCTCCAAACATTGATAACGTGCAAAAAAAGGTTGTTTTTTTTGTCACAACTGAGACATTTTTGCCTCAGTTGTGCCTTTTCTACAAAGAATGTACACAAAGAAATGTGAAGCATCCAGTTAAGCTTTTTGCACTGCTGTGTTTTTATTGTTGTCCAGTGGTTTCATTTGTGGTTTTCTGCTGGTATTGCCTGTTACCCATCGACTGCTTTTTACTTTTTACTGCTTTCAGGGATTGCGTGTTTTGATCTCGGTGTGATCTTCGCAAGGCTCTCATGCCTGGGATGGATGGCAACAGTCCTGCATTTCCTCAATTTGTCCATCTTTTTGGACCATTTGTCTTATATTTGACAGATTAAAATTTCAGGTCTTTAAAAATGCTTGAAAATCTCGTGATCGAGGCAGGCTTCACATCAAAAATTTTGTTTGAAAACAGTAGGCTTTGTCTGTATTTATATGCCTTTATAAACCTGGTAACTGTTCCTACTTCATGCTTAAAGACATATCGAGTGTTTTGCTGTTTGATTTGCTGTCAACAAGATTTGTTGTCTTATTGGACAGCCACAAATGGGTTTGACTCTTAGTCTCCGACCTAAACTTCCAGTTGTGATTACACCTTTAAAATCAGCCTACTCTGTTGTTTGCATTTATGGCAGTGTTTAAATTCTCCAGTTAGCTTGTCACAAAAAACTGTCTCTGTAGGTTGTTTAGAGTGATTTGGCAGGTATGTGTAGGTCAGGTTTTTCTAATATTTTGAGGACCTTACGGCACGTGTGATTTCATGCTTCATATTTTATATTTCATCATGTTGCAGAAATAGCCCGACAGGCAGCTCAGATCAAAATGATGAGAAAACTAGAGAAACAGGCTATAGCGCAAGCCGCAAAGGAGGCAAAGAAACAACAAGGTAAACTTCTGTCGTCAAATCAGACTCATTTGAAACACTAGATGACGTGCTTTGTGCAGATCAGATTTTCATGTGTTTTTCAGCAATAATGGCTGCTGAGGAGAGGAGGAAAAAGAGGGAACAGCTGAAGATTCTTAAACAGCAAGTAAGGATTTATGTTTAATTTTCCACGCAGAGCTTGAGCCACTCTGCTCTTTACACACTCCAAGGTGAAAAGGTTTTAAGCACACTTGAATAGCTTTGAAACCGTACAAGAAAGTTGCTGTTCTCCACAATGCTGCACCTTTCTCATCTGCATAGAGCCACTGTACGTCTTCACCCCCGCACCGTGCTCCCCTCCACCGCTCTATAACATGCATGACTTAATAGTTAATTCATTTGATCTCGCCCTCATCCTTTTACCAGGAGAAGATCAAGCGCATTCAGCAAATTCGTATGGAGAAAGAACTCCGTGCACAGCAAATTCTTGAGGTTTGTCCTGAAAGTTATTGCAGAAACATTCTTAAACACTTCCTCTCTGCTGTTGATAGGATTTATAGGAAGAAAAAAAAAGCAACCAAAGGCTATTCCTAAATTATGTGGTCCTACTTTTAGTCAGTACATGTGACTAATGCTTAATTGGTTTTTTGCAAAAAGTGCCATTGAATATGAAAATCTCCTCAGACCATGCTGGAGCTTAATGCAAAATACAGTATTTCATTAAGAAAGAGGTGGACCAGAGTTTACCGTGGCTAGGTGAAATACCTACTTTGCATTCCCTCACTAATAGAAGCTGTGAATATTTTAGCCTTCATAAATCAAATTTCAGTTGACACGCTTGGCAAGTGGCTCTTAACAGGATTTCATTGGGGCTATAATTACTGATAGAAATTTTGCTTAATTTATTCCCCCTGCCTGCTGGTGTTTAATAATAACCACTGCCATTTTGTCTTTCAGTCTTAATGGGAGGAAATAATTATCTCATTGCTCAAGATTTCAGTCTGTTAGATTTGATATTATCAGGGAGCCGCTGGCTTTAAGTAGACTGACAAACGGCAATCTTGGATGTAACAAGGAAATCACTCAGTTTTAAAGTTTTCTCTGTGTGATGTCTTAGTTGAAAATGAGTCAATATATTAGTCAAAAGCATTTGATAGATATCTCAAAGGTTTGCTTCAGTTAATAGCATCTTTTGTTTGTGCTTGAATGAGTGCATCGGGTCTGTTTTGCGCTTGCAGGAAAAGAGAAAAAAAAGGGAAGCGGCGGCGAGTGCCAGGATACTGGAAGCTGAGAAACGTAACAAGGTGAGAGGAGGTTAATGAGCTAACCTTTGTTTTGATTTGAACGTCTGTCGCTGCTTACGTAATGTTTTTGGTTTTTGCCTTGTAGTTTAAAAAGCACTGCATTCCTAACGCATGTATAAATGAACACATGATTACGTGTGTTATGTTTCCTTTCCACTTGAACTAATTTTGTTTGTAAAGGAGAGGGAGATGCGAAGACTACAAGCCGTCATACTGAAGCACCAGGTATTGTTGCCTAAGTCACACGCGTTGGAAATTTCTTATATTAGTTTAATTTTTTTTGTAATGTGTAATTTTTCTGTTTCTTAATATTTTGACAACTCTTTCTGCCAGGAGTTGGAGAGACATAGACTAGATATGGTATGAGTATGCTTCTGTGTGTTTTGACAACGTATTGTGAATGTGTTGTGTTATATGGCTGCCATCGCAACAATGGTTAACTCCTAGTTTTTGCTGTAGTCAAACAACATCTGTCTGCATGGCTTTTCCAGTACAGTGCACCGCTTATGTCTGCACTATTGATCTCTCAGATACACACATCCATTATCTGCCCAGAATGATCACGAATGAATGCAACGCACTCTAATAAATATTTCTATTGCACTGTTTGTTTTGAAACGATGTCATGTGTCTGCTTTCGTCCTTTTTATGCGTATATGATTGTATAGATATGCAGCAATAATAATATATAATCTCCATGATGTCTTGGTACTTTAATATGATGTGGTTCATCAGTTTAGTGGAGATGCATTCATTATTTTGCTCGTCGCTGCAAAACAATATCTGCTGCTTGCGGTTAAAACTCTCAGCCTGCTTCTCGCCAACACGCTCAGATTAATTTTGTAATGGCTGTGTCTAACATTGAGCTTATGCTTTGTGTATGCATCACTGCCCTCATTTGCTTTTTGTTTATCGCCGTGTCCCATTTTGTTTAACCGTTCCATACAATGTACAATGTGCAACACGCGCCGACTGTTACGTCTTTGTGCGTGTCATCAGGAATGACATCTGTGAACAAATGTCTTTCTTTGAAAATGATATAATCTGCGCGTCTGTGTTCTACCAGGAGAGGGAAAGACGCAGGCAGCACATGATACTCATGAAGGCTGTCGAGGCCCGCAAGAAGGCGGAGGTGAGTAACTGCTGATGTATCACAGCTTGTTTTTGCAGACTTGCTGAAGGAAGGATGAGTGAAACAAGGAAAGTTCAGCAGTCTGCTATGATGGGACATAGTACCATATGTACAGGGGCATAGGCGTGCAACGATACACAAAATTCACGGTTCGGTTCGATACTTTGGTGTCACGGTTCGATATTTTTTTCAATACAAAAAAATGTTCATGCTTTTTTAATTTGTCATTTATTAAAATGGGCTATATTCTCAGCAGCATATTAAACATATCAGGTCCCCATAAGGAGAATCCTGTGCTAACGGCTGTCTAAATGACTCGGGTAAAGTTTGTAGCATGCGTGCTTGTTGTTTTTTGTCTGCTTCCACTTGTCTTTGCACTAGGATGATGTCGGAGTAAATGTGCAGTGATATTCATTTTGTTCCCACTAGTGCTGTCAGCGTTAATCTGAAATGACGTTAACGCCACAACACGGCAAATCTCTGTTAACGAGCTACCGCGGATCGCCCCGTGCGTGGGGCTGGACGGCGTCAACACGTTAACGGGCAAACTGCGCTAACGCAGTAGTTCCCACCCATGTAATTGAGCATTGCGTGGCACATCCAACATACTGTTTTACTTTTGTCCATGACGCGCTTACCATCAGGGTCATGCTTCACATGAAGACCAAAATAGTTCCAAAGGCCAGATCTGAATGAGGGTGCAGGAGGTTCAATTTGCCATGTTGCAAGGAGCTTAGCTTCTGTCTTGCTAGCTTGCGCTGCGCTCAGTGGATCTGTGCTCGACAGTGCAGCCTAGGCGGAGTAGTCGAACGCAGATCCACTGAGCTCTCAACACAGACAGCATCGTCAGAAGAAAAGTTGATCAAATAAATAAAAAAAATTTTATTGTTTGATACATATGCGTACCGAACCGAAAGCACTGTATCGAACGGTTCAATATCGATACGAGTATTGTTGCACCCCTAGTATCACATAACGCCAGAAGGGCTTTAAAACAAAAGTTAGTTTTGCCACCGATTCCCAAAATCTGTTCTTCTTTTAGAGAAATAAAAAAAAAAAAAAAAACCTTAATTTCCAGTTTCTTCTGATTGTGCACTATTATTTGAAACAATCTCTCACAGGTGTCCCGTTATTTTGAGATCTGTTGAAGGCCTTACCATGTGGTCTACATCATGGTTAAATTATTTAGTAACCCTTTTTGACTTGTGGCTGAGAGTGTTATCATCCTGGAAGAGACCACTCCTGTCAGAATAGACATGTTCTTAAGAAGAAGGATGTGGAGAAGTGTAAATGCTGTGTTAGACTAACTGCACACAAAGATGGGTTGAGGAAATCTGTTGAATATGGTGTTGTGGTCCCTCTGTGTGCACATAACATGAGGTGTGACTGAATATAAGAGGTGAAGAATAAAATAAATTTCATTCTTAGACTCATGTGTTTGTTGGATTGTGTTTGTGCTTGTTGTTTTGTTGAGCATCTCGTGGAACATCATGTGCGGTCTGTTTATGACTGAATAATTTCATGAGGAACTGGCCATGTAAATGACCAGACATGAAAATAAAATTATAAATTCATTCATTCAGTAATGCAGTACACAGTACAAGAAAGCACATGGTGATCCTAAAAGCATTTCTTTTTTCTTTTCTTTTTTGTTCTTCACTTTGTAAATCAGTGTAAATATAAGTATATTGTTTGTAAGGATTTAACTTTCCTTTAGGAGAAGGAACGTCTGAAAAAAGAAAAGAAAGATGAGAAACAGTTGAACAAGGAAAGGAAACTGGAGCTCAGAAGACTAGAACTGGAAAAAGCAAAGGAGCTGAAGAAGCCAAATGAGGACATGTGTTTAGCGGATCATAAGGTATACACACTCTGTGTTAATGTTGGCTGAGATGTTGGCAAATAGAAATAAGAGTTCATATATCCGTCTTGAATAGTGTCCATTTGTCTGAAAGAGCAGATTTCCCACCAGTCCAGTGATTATTTTGATATAGTTATCAACCAGTATAATCATTATTGGAGCTGTGCACATCCTTAAAGATTAGAACTGCTTTTGGTGATTTATGGTATAATTGTTTCACAATCTGTAACAAAACAGATGTTTAAGATCATTTAAAGCATCTGGAATTCATGAAAAGGGTTAAAACAGTGCCACCGTGTGGCTCCTCGTGTTATAACATTGACCAAGTGTTCAAACTAGTCCTTCACTAAAATATGTCTTGGAACATGCACCCCATTTTTAATTTCAAAATCAGAGCAGTTTGCAATAATGTTTTATAAACTGCAATCCAGTAACTATTATAGTTGTATAGTTTTGTGTATAATTTCTGTGTAGGTTTTATCATACTTTAAGTTTTTATTTGCATTTCTTTACAGCCTCTTCCAGAGTTGTCCCGTATCCCTGGTCTGGTATTAGCAGGAAGCACCTTCTCTAACTGCCTGATGGTTTTGCAGTTTCTGCACAGCTTTGGAAAGGTGCTGGGACTGGATTTAAATTCAGACCCGCTCACTATAGGTGACCTTCAAGAAGGGTTACTGAACATTGGGGAAAATATGGAAAAGGTCCAGGACCTGTTGGTGACCATGCTCTCTGCAGCTGTGTGTGATCCTGGGGTACCTGCAGGTCACAAGGTGAATCTGTTGTTGTAATTGCAGTTTGGATTTTTGGAAGTGTAAACGCTTCCTGTGGTGTAAATAACACACACAGACATACAGCACAGACATGCTACTGTGTCCCTTTAAAATGTGGTGTTTCTGATTTTTAAATATTGCATTCTCACTGATTTGGTTATTACAATGCTGAGTGAGCTGTAATAACTAAAGAATTGACAGCAGTGATAGTAGACACGTATAAATGTATAAGGAAATGTTGGCAGCAGCTTACCTTGTAAACAAGACCCAAGCTATTTGCTCCATATGTGTTTTTAACTTCAGAGATCTAAAGTCTTTAGGTGGGTAATTATTGTACTTATGCCCCATTTTAGTTTTAAATCACAAATTTAATTCCTCCCCAGACCATTCCACATTATTGTGTAGTTGGATATAAACATTTCTTTGATTGACTGTACTTAAATGTTCTCCTAAGAAGCTGTTGTGTGCATGCCAAGAGAGATATACAGAGTATGACTTAATAATCTGCACATCCCAGATGTGACACATCCTGTGAGACACTTAAGCACTTAACATCAGGAAGGGATAATTGCTTGAAAGGACAGTTTTCTATCAGACACCTACAATATTGTGATTTTTTTTTTTTTTTTTTTTTTTTTGGCGTAAGGCTACAGAACATAAAAAGGAAGTCTCATGTAAGCTTACTGATTTTGTTTTTATTTCATTTTTTTTAAAGAGCAAAACCATCTTGGGGGACCACTTGACTAATGTGGAGATCAACCGGGACAATGTGTCTGAGATTCTGCAGATCTACATGGAGGGTCACTCTGAACAGAAAGAGGTGGCCATGCTGGCTTTTAGTCTCAGGACTAAGCCTTTCCAAGCCCACAGTCCGTCACAGAAGGCCTCTGTTTTAGCATTCCTGGTAAATGAGCTTTGCTGCAGTAAGGCTGTGATCAGGTGAGTGCCCTGCCTCCAACTGAAATTCATGATGTCAGTGTTTTCATTTCACCCCACCTAAAAAAATAATCATAAATAGTAAACTTAATAACCATTGAAGTAAATGCTTCCTTTAAGGGTTTGCATCTTATAGAATAGAATAGAATTCAACTTTATTGTCATTGCACATGTCACA